TACTTTTTCATTTTTATGGGATTTTTAAAACTTATTTCTCACAGCAATGCATAAGGAAATGAGGTATTTAGTGCAGTGAGGTTCTTTAGACAGCAGTGGGAGCTATAGAGTCAGAAAGAGAAATTCCCCTCTGTCTCACATCTGGCCCTGTTGAAACAGATGTTTTTATCAGTCTTCACACATCTCAAAAAGCACAACTATTTAAAGGTAAATGTATAAATTCATGTGAGAAATTAATTTTTTTAAAGATGAGTTTGTTACAAATGTACACCCACAATTCACAATTTAATGATAAATGTTTTGCATTTTAATTCCATCTGCCTGTACATATTAGTAAAAAGTACAACATGGCTGTCCTTTTTAATTTATTAAATTTATTTATTTTTGTCAAACAAAAATGCGGTACGTGTTTGTTTAATCCCAAAAGTCTAAAAATGTATATTTTACTGACAAAACAAGACAACAGTTTACATTTCACAAGAAAATAACCTACAAATTCAAACCTATTTAATTGGACGCAATTATAGGAATAAAAAATAACTTACCACAAATATAATGAACAAATGATATTTTTAAAATAAATAGTTACAAATATTCTTATCAGCTTTCTGTCAGAGCAAAAATTAAACTTAATGTCCAGATGTGGTTGCGCTCAGTCAAATGTGAAATTTGTTCGCATTATTTATATTTCAAACGTGTTTTCTGAAACTCCACGTGACTTGAAATGAAGTTCGGAGACTAACGGCTGATAACATTCAGTGTTTAAAAAGTTTTAATTTTAAGACTTTAAACATGAACTATTGGAATGAATGATTCGTTTTCAGATCAACACTGAGCGCAGAGAAGACGAGACTCAAGTTTAAACAGCACTTTAAAATAATTAAATCCCTAAATATTTACATCAACATGTGGTAATAAATGAAAGTGAGAGTGAAATATTGTCTATAAAAGCAGAAATTCAGTTCACTCCTCTCACCTGCAAAGCCCACTCCATCCACCTATTTGCCCCCAACCTAATTCAAGCGCCCCCCCCCCCCCCTCTGAACTCCCGCCCGGGTGCATCGACTTATTGCATTATACTATTAAACAAACTTCTTTAAAGCAGAGCCAGACTTCAGAGGCTGCATGGCATGTTTGTAGGCATGGACTGTACAGTACACAGACATTTCTCATTTCTCCTGGTGACCTTGGGCACAGCGACACGGAACGGTTTTGAGACTTTGATTTTCCACGTTGAGGTGTTGCGGAAAAAGGTGCAATGCAAGATAATTTTGGTGGTTTTTTTTTTCCCCCTTCTCCCTCCCTCTTGGGTGTATGGAGAAGTAAGAAATACAGCAGTTCATCCTCTGGAGATTACAGGTAATACGACACGCGGCCCTTCGTAAACATTCTTGACCCAACCTGATGATGGAGATATGGCTCCAGGAGAGACTTTTGCACACTTTGATTTGCCTAAAATGAGATGGAGAAGCCAGTGATCAGACTCTTTGAGGTTCCTCGCAGTGCTGGCTGCACATGCCTCCCAGCGGTGAACACCTCGCACACGTGCAATGACAACCAGGTGAGCAGGGAGCAGACTTCTGCAAACAAGCTGAGAAAACATCCTCAGACAGATATTGATGTATTATTCATTTAAAGGAAATACTAAAACCATCCATCTCAGGCCATTGAAGCAGGTGATAATCCATATGCTTCTGGGAGGGCAGCCCTCGGCGACTTGCGGATGGGTGAACTGTTGTGCATCCCTCCGAGGTCAACAAGGTGATACATATGTATGTTCATTTGCCTAATCTGACTTCTACAAATGTCTTACAGGCACATAAAGGGTTTAACACTCGCACAGAATGATATCAGGGCATCAGGCGGGCGGCTTATGGGAACATGAAGCAACCGTGGGTTTAAATCCTGCATTGAAAAATGTGTACTTCTTTTCAGTATATACAGTAAAACACTGCAGCATGTAATGTGAGGAGGTTTCAACTGATCATTTTAAAAGAATAATCTACAGAATGTGTTTGTTTTTCTCACATCGATGATAATTATCGTTAAAAAGGCCTCAGAATTCATTACAAAATGTTTAAAAAATGCAAGATATTACCATATTAAGTATCCCACAGCAATGTCAACATTTACTTTTTCTTTTTTTTAAGAAGTTGTGTTGTATATGTTTAATAAAGTGATATAAAAGTGTCTGGAAATTGCTTCTTACTTTTCTGTGTGTCCGTTTCTCTTTAAAATACCTTCAATCCATTTATGGTTTGGGTGAAATACTGGTTTCACTGGTTGCCTTAAAATACAAATATTCCATTTTGCGAGTTTTATCAGATTTTTTTTATAAAAGTGATGTTTGACAGCTGCACTGCTCTCATTAGATTTTAGATTTTAAAACACTAAATTAGCCTCAAATGATTTAATCAGTTGATCTAAAGGAAGAAAACTTCCTATCTGTTGTGCAGGTTTATAACTAAAGGCAGTGATTTTTACCTTGCTTATGTTTAAAATGTCAGTGTAACTAATACTAATACTTTACTGCAGCTCAACTGGACTGAGTGTTAAATTAAAGCCTTTTTTATGGGAACAACTAGCTTAGGTTTATCCAGTGTGGGCTCACATTCAACCCCATCAGATCGTTATCATCAGGCAGCTACTGCTACTCAGTTTGCATTTAGGAACGCAAAACAGCTTGAAATATTTGATGTGCATAAAAAATGATTCATGAAAAAGGCATCAAAAGTCACGAAAATCAAATTCAACGTATAATAACTTAAGTATTGGTCATTTGATTTGTTAATTAAACAAACGATCGCAAAATTATCCTGATAAAAAAACTAAAAATTGGGATGGATTTTTATTTATTTTATTTTTTTTGTCAAAAACTTTTCCAAACTTTTTAGTTGCATCTTCACCTTTGCTCTTAGGTTCCCATTTTTTATTTAAAAAAAATTAATTAATCAAAAAAAGACATAGGCTATCCATTCAAAAGGCATTTAGTCCTTTTTTTTTTATCTTGGCCGGTAAACCTATTCATGAATTGTTCTGGCTTGTAGATTGCATTCTAATGCTAATCTAGCGTGTTAAATATCTTTTTGTTCCCCTCTTTTCACCGTTTTGTCATTCAGTTTATCCAGTTTTGGCCACCCATTTTATTTATTTATGCGCCTGCTTCCATTCATGCGCTCATGTATTTTTTATTATGTTGTTTCACTGTCATGCAGTGTCAACTCACTCCATTCAGTGTGGGCTACTTGAAGGGCTCAGAGGGACAAAGCGTGTACACATTGCACCGCTATTCACTCCGGCCAGCTGGATCGACTGAAAGAAAAGAAAAAAACCTTGTGAAAAGAAATCCTCCACAATGGCCACAGAAGGAGTGGACAATGCTAACAGTTTTCCAAATACCACTGATTGCTTTCATCACAATGAGGGAAAGCAGCCGCTTTTGCTGAGCTCCACTTCAACAAACAACACCCTCACAAAACCTCCCAACCCACGTTTTGTTCCCAGACAAAACCTCCTCGACCGTCTAAACGCTCCCAGAGCTGGAAATAAAAAAAAAAAAAAGTTCTTTCAGCTTTCTTCCCCCCACTTTTAGAAAAAAAAAAAAAAAACAATAAAGACGAGTGAAGAAAGTGAAATGGGCCTAGAAGTTGTAATTCAGGAGCTTTTCTGCCACCATTTAATTTCAAAACACAAAATACGAAGAAAAACGATCAAACTCACGGAGTGTCGGGAGTCGACAAATTCAAACAGGAGAAATAAAACTTGTTTCTGTGCTACTTGTATTTTTTTTTTCCCACAGTGTTATTCTCAGGGGGGGGAGCCTAAGGAAGAAGGAGAAGGAAGTTCCATGGAGGGAAGGTGTTACAATGGGGAGCGCAGAGCTGAAAGGGTTTAATTAACCATGACGGAGATAATTATCCCTGGACTGTCCAAATTAGTTTAGCATAATCGCTCTGATCCGTATGTATTCATCTGTAATCTAGAAAAATGAGATTGTTCAGTAAATTTTTTTTTGTATGTTTTGTATAAGATTTAACAGACTTGCACACCTGCTTTAAACACAAACACATCCGTGCAGGTTGTATTTTCGCGAAAGGTGCCCCTTTTTATTTACAACCATTGTTCGCTAGGATCGCCCCTGGGAAAAAGAAAGCTAAGACAGTTTTAGCTTCACGATTAAAATTGTGATAAATAAGGGTGTTTTTCTTTCTCTTTCTTTTTGACCCTTGATAACAATGAGCTGATTTAGATCCCCCCCCCCCCCCCCCAACCAGCACGTAATGCCATTCAGCGCTCGGACAAAAGCGGCCTTTGGAGGATACCTTACACTTCACCTGGACTGAGAGGAGCGGGGAGAAAGGAAAAGATACCAATCTTGTTCATCTCATCAAGAACTACAGCTGCGATTCCCTTCTGTTTTAATCCAAATAGGCTTTATTGTCCTTTTTTTTCTTCTTCTTCTTCTTTTGGCTTTAACAAGTGAACAGTAGCTTGAAGTACATATGGAGTTTAAAAGAAAGCACAAAACATTACAAATTCATTAAGAGTTAGTTAAAAATGTCTCTTTTTTTTTTTAATCTTGCTGCACATGTGGGAGGAGAGGGGGCCGTGATTATAAACCCACTGAATAAACTTGTTTTTTTTTTTTTTTGTCTTTCTTCCTGTTCAAAAAACGCTTTTCAGACTCGAATTGAGCAACACCTTGAGAATAAATTACATCCTTTAAGAGTCATGTGCAAATACGTTGTCCTTTCTTTTCTTTAGCGTCTTGGATCACCATAGATTCCACTAAACAATAAATATTACAGACATCTATTGAAAAAAAAAAAAAAAAAAAAAAGAAATATATAGGTACACTGGTGGTTTCTAGGGGTAATAGGTTCCTGCATGGGCCCCCCATGTCTCAAACACTAAGCCTACAACAGGCAAAAGAACTAAAGTCATTTTATCTGTACACATTTACAGTCTGTTATCTGAGAGTAGTCCTGATGAGGGGGGGGGGGGGGGGGGCACTGAATCCAACAGGTTTGACAAGCAGGTTGGGCAAGATAAAAACTGACCACCCTTCCCAGTTTCACCAGGACAAACTGCTCTGACATCCTTAAAAATCCGTGTGGGCCAAGTCCAGTCCTGCAGGTTCAGCATCACCTTAAAGATAAAGGCATTAATCAATGTACACGCACATGTGACATCTGAGACCACGAGCACTTCATCACATGTTACAAGTTTGTGCATGCATGATTATAAAACTGTTGCATGGGTAACTCGCTTTCTTTTGCTTCTCACTGCGTGTGGGAGTCCAGGGGTGGTGGTGGGGTGGGGGGGTTATCATAACGCCGCTGCGTACGCGGGGTACGGTTCTAGCTGAGGTTTCCCCATCCCGGGGAGCAGGATGTAAGCCAGAGGCGGCTGGAGCCCCGCGGAGGGCCAGGCCGAACAGTTACACGGGATCATGTAGCCCGGGTTGCCCGGGGACGGGTGGGAGTGGGTGTGCGCCCCGCCGCCCGTCCCGGAGAATGCGCCCCCGGGCGGGTACCCCAAAGGAGACGCGTAGGGAAACGAAGGAGGGGAGAGCTCGGTCATCTTGGAGCCCAGGTCAAAAAACGAATAGGGGTTCGTGGACATGGACGGGTTGAAGAAGACCCGGGCCGCAGCGGCCGCCGCGGCCGCCGCTTTGTCCGGGTTCCCAATGATGGAGTCGGACAGCGCTCCCCCCGCGAGTCCGTTAATCTTCAGCGCGTCGTGCTCCCCCAGGTTGTAGGGCACCGGGAAGGAAAACTTATCTTTCTTCATGAGGGTCTTGGGCTTCCGCCGGGGTCGGTATTTGTAGTCGGGGTGCTCCTTCATGTGCATGGCTCTCAGCCGCTTGGCCTCGTCGATGAACGGCCTCTTCTCGGACTCGGTGAGAAGTTTCCACTCGGCCCCCAGCCTCTTGCTGATCTCCGAGTTGTGCATCTTCGGGTTCTCCTGAGCCATTTTCCTGCGCTGGGCTCTGGACCAAACCATGAAAGCGTTCATCGGACGTTTAACGTGATCCATCGGTTTAGACATGCTGGGGGGGCCAAACTCTATAAAGAAAATATAACATTAATAAACTATTAAAATCTATCTAAAAGTAAATCAAGTTGAACCTAAAGCTCCACAGCCGGCGCGTACTTACTTCAGACTTTAGTTCTTCATCCCTTCGGTGGGTTGATTTCCTCTGAAATGTTCAAGAAGCTGCGCGCGTCCTTATGAGTGCGCAAATCTTTTCAGCGTCATTGTAGCGTCCAGGAGCGAAGCGCCTCGAAGAAAAGAGACAGAAGGAGGAAAGAAAAGCTCAGTGTTGTTCTCCTCTTGTCGCCAGACACCGTCAACTGCGCCGAGCAGCAGCAGCACACGCAAGTGGACGTCAACTCCCGCGCGCCCCGTGTGAAATACGCGATCGTGTGGCACGTAGTGAAAGTGCCACTGGCGCATGCGCACTGGGGTCGCCAAGCGCAGCGCTCTGTTAATTCATGTATTCGGTTTTGACGCGTTGGAAGCGTAAACACATCTAAGATCTTACTGTCCTCTGTGGTGTTTCGCCTCATTTGGGAAACTTTTAAAGAATTTTCACCCACATATTTGGCAATATTTATTTTTAAAAAGTCACTTAGAAATGTAAAATACCTGAGGATGGCAACCTGTGTGGGACTTCTTTAATGCGTTTTGCAGGTTTTTGGAGAAAGTGGCTGCAGACAGACTGATGTTACACAAGTTCCGTCAACTTTTATTAAATGAAACGAAACTATTCTTTCTTTTTATATATATATATATAAGAAGCCACACTTTATCAACTTTCCCTCTCCATTTTCTCACCTTTCATGTCTCCCCCTCCCCCCAACACACACACACACACACACACACCACAAATGCGTCCTGCCATTTTTTTTTCCCTGATATTGTCCCACTTTTTCTTCTTCTTCTTAGTAAATAAGCAAATGTTTGAGGAGGTCTGAAGTGTTTCTAATCGTGCTGGGTGAAATTAATTACTTTCTTGAAATCACCCCCGCCCCCCCACTCCACTCCTCCTCCTCTTTTCACGTTCACTTCAAAGAACCTTCCCAAGGGCAGCGAATCGACAACTGAAATTAGGTTGTCCAATATTCAACTATGCAATTACAGTAATATCTGCAGGACCTGTTGAGCAAATTGTAGGTTTAAGTGGCTTGTTCTGGCTCTTCCTCCCCCCGCTGACTGTTATTATTATTAATAATATTACTATATGTGCGCAGAAGACATGAAATAAATGTGCGGCATTGAGCAGTATTATACATGATGAATTTGTCTGCAGGTTAAAGCGTTTAAATTAGGACACAAATGGAAGTCGAGTACAATTCACTTTAATCCTTTTATATTATTATTATTATTATTATTATTATTATTATTATTATTATTATTATTATTATTGACAGGGAAAAGTTGAGTCTAAATAACCCCAAAGTGCGCACTTTTCTCGCCCCAGCTCCATGTTGAGATTGTTTGAAAAACGATCTGTTAAAAGGATTAAGGTGGATTTATCGGAGTGGAGAGGCTCACTGGGATCAGGCTTTGGTCTCAAATGGGAGAAAAGAGTGAGGATTGGATCCGAGCGGATGAAACGCCGTCCAGAACCGAGAGGAGCGTCCATCTCTCAGCGCTGTGCGCGCGCATTTCTGCCGGCTCTCAGCTCCATATCACTCCAGTCACTCCGCACGAGCACGCGGACACACGTGCAAACAGAAGTTGCTTCATATAGTGGTGTGTTTAGGGGTGAAGGTTGTTATCGGAACTTGGAGAGGTGTGGAGTTCAGGAGCGCTGCGCGCGGGCATGCATGCGATCACTGGGCCCCTTCTCCCTTTTTCTCAATTTTCTTCTTTAATAAAATGCAAAATCTATTTTTTTTTATTCTAGTTCATTTTTAGGATTATTTTGAAAGCCTTATTTTAATTTTACCTTTAAGGCCCCTATTGTATTTACACCTGGGCCCCAAATCAGCCTCTTTTTTTTTTTTTTTTTTTTTTACCCCAACACGTTTTATCAAAATTATTTACAAAACACCTGACTCAGAAAGCATTAAGTCATTCATCTTTTAAAGTTAATTGAAATCAGATTTAAAAAATGATCAAACAAGCACTCCAGTCTGTGTTTTCTCCCCTTTTTTACACATGCCTGAGTCCTCGAAATAACACTTAAATAATTCAACATGAGTTAGTGAGAGTGGGAGAATTACCTGCTGATAAAGAAGCTTGGGTCCAACCTCTGAGACGGAGCCAGCACTCCACTCCCTCCTCCTCCTCCTTCTCCTCCTCCTCCTCACAGCACACCACTGATGATAAGGCTGAAAAGAAAAATATCATGCAAATAGAAGACAGACAGCAACAACAAGCCCATGGGGACGTTTTCCCTACCCGGAGAGAGATCGCACACAGTTCGCCACTAAAAGTGCTAAAGCCATCAGTCTGAGAAAGGAGCCCCTGGAGGTGTGAGCATCTCCACGATGCTGCCGAACACTTTATTAAACTCAACACTCCACTAAATCTGCAGCAAATTAAAGAGAAAGTTGATGAGAATCCCAGTTAATCCCAGTTTGCAATAAAAAAAGGCTTCATCTGTACAGAATTATGTGAGATGTTTACTTCCATCCTCATCCTTTTCAGCCTGTTCTTCTCCCATAAGAGGAGGAGGAGGAAGAGGAGAAGGAGGGAGGGGGAGTCGAGACTTGAAATAAATTGATTTCAAGGGAACACAAGTTGACCTCCCACTATCAGATGGCTCTTCTTCGACGAGGAAAAAAGAGGAGAGGGTAAACAACAATATCTTGTGTTTGTGCACTTCAAAACCCAACAAAGTGGGGAGTATTTACAGCCACATGAAAGTTTGTTCATTATCAGGGGAGGAAGAGGACAGGGAGGGGTCCTGATTGTGTACCTGATGTGGTCTCTTTCTGCCAGCATGATCACAGCTCAGACTCATCCATCCGTGGCTGCTCGCTCCTCTCCTGCGCAGGCCGAGCACCAAAACCCTTCACCGCTGCTGCTTGACGATGCTCATTACGCACCACGTTTTTGTGCAGACCACCTCTGCTTTCAGCTGCTTTTCAGACTAAGGGTTTAGTCAGATTAAAAGCACAGATCTGGACAAAAATATCTCAATAATTCCAAGGGAATCCGTTTGAAACTATGATTTGGGATCATTAAGTGCTTTTAATTGAGTTTCCATCTTTTTCACATCATTGTGCTGCCTATTTTTATTATTCTCAAACTAAAATAAATTCTTCTTGCATTTAGTAAATTGAAACAATTTTAATGCATCTTGTGGTCAAACATAAATAGTAAAATTTGAACCATATTAAAAGCCGATCCGTCACCATCATGGGTCATTAGCCTTCAAAATCTTATCTTGAGCGAACCTTTGACAAAGCGCTAATGCCAAACAGTTTGGAGCTGCAAGTGATCCAAATGATTATTTAAAGATGAATGCATTCAATTTAGAAGCCATTGCGCCTAATGAGGTGTCTTTACAGGCGTCACAATGCATAGAAAATATGCTTAAGTGCAAGGCAACATAATGACAGGACGGAGACAATGCTGACTTCAGCATCACTTCAAATGAGTCACACTGAACGTATAAATAAATGGGAATTAATGTGAATAAAGTTAATATATTTTTTGTGGGTTTTAATATGTGACCTATTTTGAAGGTTTGTGTTCTGAAAATACATTCAATAAGTGCCAAATTAGTTGTGCAGTTCTCTAATCGTTCTAATTATACAGTCTTTATTGCTCCTCGGGGCAGAATCCTGTGCCTTTGTCTCAGTGGGAATTATTCTGGTGAAGAACCAAAATATTTACTCAACCACAACCTAAATATTACGCATATCAAGAGGAATTATTGAGATATAATCCGCTCATAGAGCGCAGTATTAACTTAATCACATTAGTGGAAATACTATTGATAGTGGTCATGATCCCTGGTGAGGGAATTCACAATGAAAAAGAGCCATAGAAGATGTAGAAAACAGTGTTAAAGAGCAGGCACATGGCCCCGGGGGTTGCGTAGGTGTGTGTTTTTGTTGGCGTGTGTCTTGGTGCTTGAATGATGGGAAAAAGAGGATGGGATTGTCAGTTCGATCTTTGAGGACCTGAACAGACAGCTACAGCAAACTTTTAAAAAGCGCATTATGGAGGGAGAATGGCAACACAGGAGCATGTGGAGTCCGCCGGGCTGATAAGACCTTCATCTTTAAACTGCCGTTTGTCAAAGTATTATACGTAATCTCGTGCTGCAGAATATCTCCACACCCCGAGGGGCAAACAAAATAGCAGCAGAAATCAAACAGCTTCCTGGATCATTAGAAAAAGAAGAAGAAAAAAAAAGCTGGCCTATCATAATCTGTGAAAAGTCAGATTTTTGAACTGTGATTGCTCCCCCCCACCCCCCTTACAAGGTACATGTTCCACTTCCATACTGTGTGTCCTCGTAGTTTAGATGCTTGTTTTACCTCCAGGCTGTGAGATGATTTTTCCCCATGATGGACCATTTTGAACAATTTAGAGGATACATTATCACTTTTCTTCCTCATTATTCCTCCTCCCAACCCCTTTATCGCCATGGCATCACCGCAAAGCCCCCAAATGGAGCGTTGTAATTACCCAGACTGCCACCTGATAGCAGCCCTTCTATCAGCTTTATCACTCCAGGTCCTGCTAACTCATCATAGAGACAGAAGGAAAGAAAAGGCCCAACACAGATAGCTCATCTCCGAGATACATGTATGGCTTCGGTTGTGTATGTGTGTGTGTGTGTGTGTGTGTGTGTGTGTGTGTGTGTGTGTGTGT